TAGAAAAGTCCTTAATATATTACCTGTAGAATCCATCATGTCCTAAAAAACTCCTAATTTCCCTTACAATTGTTGGATAAGTTAATTAGCAATCACTTGAATTTTAGCAGGATCTACTTCCATACTATTTTCTGAGATTTGATGACCTAATACAATTCCTCCTACTACCATAAATTGACATTTTTCTAGTTAAGGACTAAATTTATTCCTGTGGCTAGGAAAGGTCTCCTTAAAATGATAGGCATCTCTTTATCTTCCTCTATATCCAATGAAGTTCCAAACTGAAGTTCCAAACTCTGAAAAGTCATCCATAAAAACTTCAATCCCTTTTTCTATTAAATCACAAAAGATTGTCATCATACATTTTTGAAATATAGCAGAGGCATTACATAAACCAAAGGGCATTCTTCTAAAAGTAAAAGTACCATAAGGGCTGGTAAATGTTGTTTTCTCTTGATCCTCATGAGATATTTGAATTTGGTGATAATTGATATATCCATCCAGAAAACAAAATTATTTGTGTCCAACTAGTCTATCCAACATTTGATCTATATAGGGTAGTGGAAAATGATCTTTTCTAGTGGCAAGATTTAATTTTCTATAATCAATGCATATTTGCCACCCTGTAACTTGTCTAGTAGGTATTAACTCATTATGCTCATTCACGGATATAATTACTCCTCATTTCTTAGGAACACAGTGAATTGGACTAACTCATACACTATATGAAATAAGGTAGATAATTCCAGCATCTAACCACTTTAAAATTTCTTTCTTAACAACCTCTTTCATAACAAGATTTAATCTCCTTTGTGGATCAGCCTTGGGTTTGCAGCTTTCTTACAGATTAATTCTATGCATACATTAAGTAATAGATCCTCTTTTGATTCTTCAATTTCTTCTCTCTCTACTTCAATCTCTTTTTAAACCCTACCTTCCAACTCTCTTCCTCTTCTAAGTTGTACAACTTTAACTTGCTTTTTATTCTGGTCTTTTGGATTTGATTCAATATTACTAGGAAGTGTTACTTGGGATCTATTACTTAATGAACTTGCAATTTGCCCAAGTTGATTCTCAATATTTCTAATTGTAGTTCATTGACTTTGTAACTAATTACCCATTTGTAACACCACTTCTTCTATAGACAACTTCTTCTCCTTAAATTGTGTATTACTATTGAAACCTGGAGGATAACTAGAAATATTCCCTTGGTTGTTCTAGTTTCCTAATAGGTTTACTTGGTTGTTCCCCCATTGCTGATTATTACCACCCGAATTATTATTCCAGTTAAAGTTGGGATGATTCTTCCAACCTGGGTTATAATAATTGGAATATTGGTTATTTTGATTATTATTTATGACATTCAAAGTTTCTAATGATGCTTGAGAATCTACCATTTGGCCTAATGAATTCTCTTTAATCATGGAAATTAAAATTCATTCCAAATTGATCTAACTTCCTTGAAATTGCAGCAACTTAATTTGCTAACATAGTAAATGCATCAGTTTTATGAATATTGGCTACTTTCTTTAGATTCACCCTCTCAGAAGGCCATTTAAAATTATTGGTTGCCATCTGTTCAATTAAAGCATAAGAGTCATGAAATGGTTTTGACATCAATGAACCACCAGCAGCCCAC